ACGATCTACAACATTACATTGTTACTACTTTGTTCCATGTAGAAAATGGGTCTGGGATAGCGAGGGGGAGAGAGGTGGAAGGAAGACGAGAGTTGGAGAACGGGAGAACAGAGGAAGGGGAAAGCTAGACAAAAGGGGAGAGGAGGAAGGAAAGTTATTTTATCCCTTTATAATATATGTATGTATATATACATATACACATACACACGCGTATGTATTCATACATACACATACACACGCGTATGTATTCATACATACACATATATAAGCACACACATATACATTTGTCTATAAACACGCACACATACACAGACACGCATATAAACACACGCACGCACACACACACGGTCTTCACCGCAGACAAAACCGACCTTATCATGGCCTTGTTCCTGGTGGCCACCGTGGGGGTGGAGGTTGATCTCCTGGCGAATCTCCTCGATCTCTTTCCGAATGGCCGCCATGTCATTCATGACAGACGTCATTCTGTCCTCATCTGAAACACATCAAATAGTATAGGATTCACTGAATAATTCACATTTAGGAAAATATAGTTGGCGGGTCGTTATCAATTTGATAATCATCATTACCATCACCATTATCATTATTAATGATATTATATTGTTATTCTCATTATCATTACTATCATTCCTATCATCATCCCTCTTATTATCATCACCATTATTAGTAATATCATTATAACTGATTATCATTACTGGTATTATCACCATAATCATTATCATCATTATTTTCACTATTATCGTTATGATCATCGTCGATCATCGTTACTATCACTGACTTATTAGTATCGTTATTATTACTTATTATTATGATTATAAACAAAATCACAATTGCCTTAATGATAGCTGTTACTGTGGTTATAATTATCATCATAAATATCACATATAGTAGTTCTTTCCGATGATAATATTGACAGTGACATATGACAGCCATATTTATCAATTTGTAATATTAATATCATAATTGCATCGAGAGCAGTGATAATGGTTATGATAATGATAGTAGTATTTCAGTAAACGTCATTCAAACAATTCACTTACTTATTTCAATGGGCAGAGCAGCCGCCGCCGCCAGACACGCCGCGAAGAGAACGACACCGCGGATCATCCTGGAAATGCACAGAGAATGGAGACGCGTGTGAGCAACATATGTCCATGATACATACGTACATGCATGTATATATGAGTATATATATACATATTAAATATATGATATATATATACATATATATGGTAAATATATATATACATATACATATATTTTTTTCATATATATGTGTGAGAGAGTGAATGTGTGTAGACATGCACATATGTTTGTTTGGTTTGGTTTGCATCTTTGAATTATTATTTGGTAGTGCTTATTTCGAAATTCCTTATTACATCAATGCCCAAATACTGTTTTATGCAAATAAAAGTTGTTAATGTTTAGTTTCTTTTTTCATAATCATCGTAATTTCATAATAACATGGTCTCATCGAAGCTGTTAACTGAGATGAGTTTCTGCCAATATGATCATTATTTTGATTTCCATTTCATTAGTATAATATGCACACACATTCCCTGTTTATAATGCGTAGATGCGTTCCGATTTAAAGTAATGGCTAAGCTATACATATACAGCTATTTCATTTATGTATTTATGGAAGGAAAGAAAATTACATTAGGACCCCTCTTTATGTACAGCCCGTGCATACATTTGTATATTTATGTATGTATGCGCGTATATGGATAGATAGATATTGTGTATACATACATATATATACATAACTCACAATTTATATAGATATATGTATGGTGAAAAAACCTGGATTTATTGAAACTGAGAGTACAGGTCTGAAGGTGAATTTCGAAACTGTAGTCTCATTTTCAGTAAGTCTAGTTTTTGCTTTGTGGGTTTTCCGACCATAGTATCCACACAAAAGTGTTTTACCTTTCACACACATATATATTTATATATACTTTTATATATGTATATATGCTCCTTAGACAGTCCAAAACCCAATAAAGGTTCCTTACTTACCTGATGTTCAGGTGAGTTTGTTCACTGATACGAATCCTCCGTCCTTATATTGCTCCTCCGTCCAGATTTTGCCATCAGCTGTGTTCCTGTATATATCTGTTATTCCTTGTACAGTCTTTATGCTATATCTATTATTCACTTGAGTTACGCACCGGTTTGCCGTAGCTCTGTCGTTTAGCTTAAAATGAAGAACAGTCCATATTGTATATTATTGTTTGGTAAAGTGTTTACCGTATTTGGCATCTGTTAGGTCATGCGTGTGGGTTGTTATTGTGCCTTTGTATACTCAAGGTAATGCACACGGCACTCATCTAAGGTTGACGGGCGATGCGAGCAGTCAGTTTCTGGGGCACTGCGAGCCTTTCCGAGAAAATAAGGTATTCCGGAAGCATTTTGACGCTACGACCAGAGCTATAAAGGTGTAATTTAGGAAAAAAAAATTGTAAGAGTGTGGCCCTTGCGCGGAGGGGGGGGGAGGGAGTTATCGTCCAAGTCCACTTGTGTGATTTTTTTTTTCGCTAAACAAATATAGTTTTATGTGTGTGCGTGTGTATACATACCCGTCTTAAGGTAATGTTTGTGTTTACGTACAATTCCACGCCCAGCTACAGGAGTAATGATACCTGTCCTTTGATTTACCAACATATTTATGTATGTGAATATAACCTACATATATATTGTGGATGTACTTATTCACGGTGTCTTTACGATTAAATGTCAACATGGACGCCACACCAGAAATATATTCGCAGACCATTACAACTCATCTCCGAATCCGTTCACGCACGACACAAAACACTAATAAATTAATAAAAACATTTAAACAAATGGAAATCACCCGTATTCATTATCGTTATCAGACCCTATAATCTTTAATTACGCTTACAATTACTGCCTTCCAGATGAAGCCAGTTAGCTTTTAATTCTCTTTCCATCAGACATTTTAGTGTAATGGAGCTCGTCTTAAAACCGCTGACTTGAATGGCTCGCTTGGGAAAATCGCTGTTCATGCACGTCCCTTTTTTCTTTGAGTCTATTTTGTTTGGCTTGTTTAGTTTTGCAATGGGATGTTGCACTGTGTTTGCTTGCTTCGCGTGTTTCCTCTTGTTTGATTTATAAGATTTTTTTTTCCTCTCTTTTCATTACATGCAAGTGGTTGGCTTTGCCTGTTTTTGTTTTTTTTTTGTTTTTGTTTTTATAGGGAAATGCAGTATTTTTTTTTTTTTTTTTTTGCCTGTTTGTTTTGTTTGATTTGAGGGATATCGTGTGCTGTGTGGAGCAAAGGTAGCGATCTCGTCTAGCAATCTTGCTGACCTGCGTTCGAATCCCTTGCCGCCAGTGGATGGGAACCCCGGCCATTCCTTGCACACAGGGGGTCATTTAAAAGCAACAATTAACAGACAGCCTGTCGCACCACTGTAACAAATGGAATCAATGTATATTATTATTATCACCATTATTGTTATATTATCATTATCATCATTATCATCATTATCATTATTGTTATTATTATCATTATTATCATCATCATTATCATCATTATTATTTCTATTATTATTATTTGTATCATTATTATTACTATTATCATTATCATTATTATCAATATTATTATTATCAGTATTATTATTATCATCATTTTCATTATCATTATTAGTATCATAATTTTTATTATTATTACTATTATCATTATTATCATCATTATTACATCATTATTATTATAATTATTTTTATTATTATTATCACTATTGTTATTATTATTATTATCATTATAATCATTATCATTTTTTTTCTTATTATTATTATCATTATCATTATTATCAGTATTATTATCAGTATTATTATCATCATTATTATTATAATTATTGTTATCATTATCATTATCGTTATTATTGTTATCATCATTATCATCATTATTATCATTATTATTATTACTATTTTTATCACTATTGATATTATTATTATCATTATTATTATTATCATTATTTTCATCCATTCTGTTTTATAGGATGTGGATTTATTTTGTTTGTTTTGCATGTTTGCTAATTGCTTTCCTTGTTTCTATGTTTCTCTTTCCATTCCTCACTTTCGTTCTTCATACTTATCTGTTTGTTTATCCATCTATCTATCCTTCTCTAACCAAATATAATGTATGTCTGTTATCTTCCGTTTAATCCTTATTAGTAGTGTATTAGCACAATAAAATCAATTTTGAGAAAAGTAAAAAGTCATACTTGCTCATTTTCTTTAATGTGTTTCATTACTTAATGGTCGCACTATGTACATATGTTAGATTCGATATTGCATTGAAATTCAATAAATGGATAAAATGGTATCACGCACATACACAAGCAAACATATATACATATATATTTGTGTATATATATGTACACACGATGTATATGTGTGAGAGAATATATATAAATGTGCGTGTGCATATATATATGTGTGTGTATATATATAGACGTGTGTGTGTGTGTTTAAATGCATATATATACATATTGTATGTATATGAATATATATATTATGAATATATTATATATTATATATATATATATATTTCCCGTTATCTTTTGTTCAATCCTTATTAGTAGTGTATTACTACAATACAATCAATTTTGAGAAAAGCAAAAAGTTATACTTGCTCATTTTCAATTATTGAAAACAATTTGAATCAGAAGGAAACTTTACCTACTATTCTACGAAATACTGTCAAATTGGCCGGTGATAAAAACAACATCTGATCGTGACAGTAAATTTAATATGTAACACATATAAAAAAAAAAAAACGTTTTTCACATGCATAATACATCATACTATTTATTCATCTATTCATTAGAGCAATTTTCAAAGACGAATTAGCATGGCACGGATTACACAGACAGAAAGAATTTGCTCTCTCCCTCTCCATGTAAACACACAAAATGAAAAATAAAATCATACTCAGAAATCTCTCTTCGCATTTCTTACTCATTTTCGTGCAGACCATGAGTATCGTGCTCGTCCTTTTCGTGGTCGTCGTGGTGGTGGTCGTGATGGTGGTGGTGGTGGTCGTGATGATGCTCTTCGTGCTTGTGACCATCGTGATGGTCGTCCTCATGGTGCTTTTCATGCTGGTGGTCGTCGTGATGGTCGTCCTCATGGTGCTTTTCATGCTGGTGGTCGTCGTGGTCATCCTCATGGTGCTCTTCGTGCTGGTGGTCGTCGTGATGGCCGTCCTCATGGTGCTCTTCGTGCTGGTGGTCGTCGTGATGGTCGTCCTCATGGTGTTCTTCGTGCTGGTGGTCGTTGTGGTGGTCGTCCGCATGATGCTCTTCATGCTGGTGGTCGTCCTCATGGTGCTCTTCGTGCTGATGGTCGTCTTGGTAGTCGTCCTCATGGTGCTCTTCGTGTTTGTGGTCGTCGTGATGGTTGTCCTCATGGTGCTCTTCATGCTGATGGTCGTCGTGATGGTCGTCCTCATGGTGCTCTTCATGCTGGTGGTCGTCATGATGGTCGTCCTCATGGTGCTCTTCGTGTTTGTGGTCGTCGTGATGGTCGTCCTCATGGTGCTGTTCGTGCTGGTGGTCGTCGTGGTGGTCGTCCTCATGATGCTCTTCGTGTTTGTGGTCGTCGTGATGGTCGTCCGCATGGTGCTCTTCGTGCTGGTGGTCGTCGTGGTGGTCGTCCTCATGGTGCTCTTCATGCTGGTGGTCGTCGTGGTGGTCGTGGTCATCATGGTGGTGGCTGTCATGGTGATGGTCGTCATGGTGGTCGTGTTCATCGTGGTGGTCGTCATGATGGTCGTCATGGTGATGGTGATCGTCATGATGGCCATCGTGATGATCATGATGGTGTTCATGGTGGTCGTCATGGTGATGGTCGTCGTGATGGTCAGCCTCATGACTGTGTCCATGAATGTCTTCTTCTAAGAGTGTCTTCTGGTCGTCATGGTGATGGTGATCGTCATGGTGGTCATCGTGATGGTCATCATGGTGTTCATGGTGGTCGTCATGATGATGGTCGTCATGGTGATGGTCGTCATGGTGGTCATCGTGATGGTCATGATGGTGTTCATGGTGGTCGTCATGGTGATGATGGTCGTCATGATGGCCATCGTGATGATCATGATGTTCATGGTGGTCGTCATGGTGATGGTCGTCGTGATGATCAGCCTCATGACTGTGTCCGTGAGTGTCTTCTAAGTGTCTGCAAAATTCCACAAGTTCTTTCATTTCTATGCGATTTTTTAGCTGAATCAATTGGGTTTTGTGTTTCATTACTTTCATTACTATGTGCATATATATATATTTATCTTTGAGTGTGTGTGCATAGGCAGGTTTACCAACATACACTTACTTTAGCAACTCCTCGTTATGGTGATCCTCGTGGCCTTCGTGCTGATGGTGAAGATGGTGTGTCTCGTGCTCATGGCGGAGCATTTCCACCTCCTCTACGATCTACAACATTACATTGTTACCACTTTGTTCAATGTAGAAAATGGGTCTGGGATAGCGAGGGGGAGAGAGGTAGAAGGAAGACGAGAGTTGGAGAACGGGAGAACAGAGGAAGGGGAAAGCTAGACAAAAGGGGAGAGGAGGAGGGAAAGTTATTTTATCCCTTTATAATATATATATATGTATATATACATATACACACACACGCGCGTATGTATTCATACATACACACGCGTATGTATTCATACATACACATATATAAGCACACACATACATATGTCTATAAACACACATACACAGACACGCATATAAACACATACACAGACACGCATATAAACACACGCACGCACACACACACGGTCTTCACCGCAGACAAAACCGACCTTATCGTGGCCTTGTTCCTGGTGGCCGCCGTGGAGGTGGAGGTTGATCTCCTGGCGAATCTCCTCGATCTCTTTCCGAATGGCCGCCATGTCATTCATGACAGACGTCATTCTGTCCTCATCTGAAACACATCAAATAGAATAGGATTCACTGAATAATTCACATTTAGGAAAATATAGTTGGTGGGTCATTATCAATTTGATAATCATCATTACCATCACCATTATCATTATTAATTATATTGTTATTCTCATTATTATCATTACTATCATTCCTATCATCATCCCTCTTATTATCATCACCATTATTAGTAATATCATTATAACTGATTATCATTACTGGTATTATCACCATAATCATTATCATCATTATTTTCACTATTATCGTTATGATCATCGTCGATCATCGTTACTATCACTGACTTATTAGTATCGTTATTATTACTTATTATTATGATTATAAACAAAATCACAATTGCCTTAATGATAGCTGTTACTGTGGTTATAATTATCATCATAAATATCACATATAGTAGTTCTTTCCGATGATAATATTGACAGTGACATATGATAACCATATTTATCAATTTGTAATATTAATATCATAGTTGCATCGAGAGCAGTGATAATGGTTATGATAATGATAACAGTAGTATTTCAGTAAACGTCATTCAAACAATTCACTTACTTATTTCAATGGGCAGAGCAGCCGCCGCCGCCAGACACGCCGCGAAGAGAACGACACCGCGGATCATCCTGGAAATGCACAGAGAATGGAGACGCGTGTGAGCACACATATGACCATGATACATACGTACATGCATGTATATATGAGTATATATATACATATTAAATATATGATATATATATACATATATATGGTAAATATATATAAAAATATACATATATTTTTTCATATATATGTGTGTGAGAGATTGAATGTGTGTGTAGACATGCACATATGTTTGTTTGGTTTGGTTTGCATCTTTGAATTATTATTTGGTAGTGCTTATTTCGAAATTCCTTATTACATCAATGCCCAAATACTGTTTTATGCAAATAAAAGTTGTTAATGTTTAGTTTCTTTTTTCATAATCATCGTAATTTCATAATAACATGGTCTCATCGAAGCTGTTAACTGAGATGAGTTTCTGCCAATATGATCATTATTGTTTTGATTTCCATTTCATTAGTATAATATGCACACACATTCCCTGTTTATAATGCGTAGATGCGTTCCGATTTAAAGTAATGGCTAAGCTATACATATACAGCTATTTCATTTATGTATTTTTGGAAGGAAAGGAAATTACATTAGGACCCCTCTTTATGTACAGCCCGTGCATACATTTGTATATTTATGTATGTATGCGCGTATATGGATAGATAGATATTGTGTATACATACATATATATACATAACTCACAATTTATATAGATATATGTATGGTGAAAAAAACTGGATTTATTGAAACTGAGAGTACAGGTCTGAAGGTGAATTTCGAAACTGTAGTCTCATTTTCAGTAAGTCTAGTTTTTGCTTTGTGGGTTTTCCGACCATAGTATTCACACAAGTATTCACACAAAAGTGTTTTACCATTCACACACATATATATTTATATATACTTTTATATATGTATATATATGCTCCTTAGACAGTCCAAACCCCAATATAGGTTCCTTACTTACCTGATGTTCAGGTGAGTTTGTTCACTGATACGAATCCACCGTCCTTATATTGCTCCTCCGTCCAGATTTTGCCATCAGCTGTGTTCCTGTATATATCTGTTATTCCTTGTACAGTTTATGCTATATCTATTATTCACTTGAGTTACGCACCGGTTTGCCGTAGCTCTGTCGTTTAGCTTAAAATGATGAACAGTCCATATTGTATATTACTGTTTGGTAAAGTGTTTACCGTATTTGGCATCTGTTAGGTCATGCGTGTGGGTTGTTATTGTGCCTTTGTATACTCTTAAGGTAATGCACACGGCACTCATCTAAGGTTGACGGGCGATGCGAGCAGTCAGTTTCTGGAGCACTGCGAGCCTTTCCGAGAAAATAAGGTATTCCGGAAGCATTTTGACGTCTTGTTTGATTTATAAGGTTTTTTCTTCTCTTTTCTTTAGATGTTGCAAGTGGTTGGCTTTGCCTGTTTTTTTTTTGTTTTTTTTATAGGGAAGTGCAGTTTGTTTGTTTTTTGTTCTTTTTACCTGGGTTGTTATTGTGCCTTTGTATACTCTTAAGGTAATGCACACGGCACACATCTAAGGTTGACGGGCGATGCGAGCAGTCAGTTTCTGGGGCACTGCGAGCCTTTCCGAGAAAATAAGGTATTCAGGGAGCATTTTGACGCTACGACCAGAGCTATAAAGGTGTAATTTAGGGAAAAAAAATCGTAAGAGTGTGGCCCTTGCGCGGAGGGGGGGGAGAGCATCGTCCAAGTCCACTTGTGTGATTTTTTTTTCGCTAAACAAATATAGTTGTATGTGTGTGTGCGTGTGTATACATACCCGTCTTAAGGCAATGTTTGTGTTTACGTACAATTCCACGCCCAGCTAGAGGAGTAATGATACCTGTCCTTTGATTTACCAACATATTTATGTGAATATAACCTACATATATATTGTGGATGTACTCATTCACAGTGTCTTTAGTATTAACTGTCAACATGGACGCACACCAGAAATATCTTCGCAGACCATTACAACTCATCTCCGAATCCGTTCACGCACGACACAAAACACTAATAAATTAATAAAAACATTTAAACAAATGGAAATCACCCGTATTCATTACCGTTATCAGACCCTCTAATCTTTAATTACGCTTACAATTACTGCCTTCCAGATGAAGTCAGTTAGCTTTTAATTCTCTTTCCATCAGACATTTTAGTGTAATGGAGCTCGTCTTAAAACCGCTGACTTGAATGGCTTGCTTGGGAAAATCGCTATTCATTCACGTCCCTGCAATGGGATGTTGCACTGTTTGCTTGCTTCGCGTGTTTCGTCTTGTTTGATTTATAAGATTTTTTTTCTCTTTTCTTTAGATGTTGCAAGTGGTTGGCTTTGCCTGTCTGTTTTTGTTTTTTTTTTGTTGTTTTTTATATAGGGAAGTGCAGTTTGTTTGTTTTTTGTTCTTTTTGCCTGCTTGTTTTGTTTGATTTGAGGGATATCGTGTGCTGTGTGGAGCAGTAGTAGCGATCTCGTCTAGCAATGTTGCTGACCTGCGTTCGAATCCCTTGCCGCCAGTGGATGGGAACCCCGGCCATTCCTTGCACACAGGGGGTCATTTAAAAGCAACAATTAACAGACAGCCTGTCGCACCACTGTAACAAATGGAATCAATGTATATTGTTATTATTATCATCATTATTGTTATATTATCATTATCATCATTATCATTATCATAATTTTTATTATTATCATTATTATCATTATCATTATCATCATTATCATTATTTCTATTATCATTATCATTTGTATCATTATTATTACTATTACCATTATCATTATTATTATTATTATTATCAGTATTATTATCATTACCATTATTATTATTAGTATCATCATTTTTATTATCATTACTATTATCATTATTATCATCATTATTATTATAGTTATTATCATTATTATTATCACTGTTGTTATCATTATCATTATCATCATTATCATTGTTACTATTATTTTATCATTATTATATTTATTATTATTATTATTATTGTCATTATCATTATTATCAGTATTATTATCAGTATTATTATTATCATCATTATTGTTATCATTATCATTATTATTGTTATCATTATCATCATTATTATCATTGTTATTATTATTATTACTATTATCACTATTGATATTATTATTATTATTATCATTGTTATTATTATTTTCATGCATTCTGTTTGTTTTATAGGATGTGGATTTATTTTGTTTGTTTTGCATGTTTGCTTTTAGAGTAGCACACAGTTTATAAACTCAAAATTTATTTAATTGCTTTCCTTGTTTCTCTGTTTCTCTTTCCATTTCTCACTTTCGTTCTTCATACTTATCTGTTTGTTTATCCATCTATCTATCCTTCTCTAACCAAATATAATGTATGTCTGTTATCTTCCGTTTAATCCTTATTAGTAGTGTATTAGCACAATAAAATCAATTTTGAGAAAAGTAAAAAGTCATACTTGCTCATTTT